TACAGCCCTGCTAATTTACAACTAATTGAGGTCCAACACCATCCCACTCTCCTGCATTGACTAACCTGATGAAAACAGCTCAGCGCCACTGAGCCACATTCAAATTAGACACCGAGACAAACAGGCTGATGAGAGACACTTTATGGGCCATGTCGTCTTGTCTCGCCAACATGTCTGTTTAACGTATTTATACCGTAAATATTTCATTCACTGGTTTTCCACCTTGTATCACTCTATGTGGCCAACTGGTGATTATCTAGTATTTTTATGACCACATTCTTTCCCTTATTTCATTTTGGTGTCTTTATTCCACCCAACTCTAATTTCCTCTGTTTTGTTCACCTCTTAACACATTTAAAAATATGTATCGCAATATCTGCTGCTGAAGATGCAGCCGATAAGCTGCTGCTGCTGCTGCTGTTGTGAATATTAGGCAGCATAGAATGAAAATGGAAATGCAAACAAAGCCATAAAGCAACAGGACAGTCCTCTTCATCTATATGTTTCTCCAGCTTTTAACGGCCTGCGGAGCATCTCATTTGCATGGCTAATAGCAGCATTCACAGTGACAGGGAGCATACAGCGCTGGTCTGTAGATAAGAGCTCACTATTGAGCACTCTCAAACACATGAACGGCTACGTACACAGTATAATTTAAACGGCCCTCTCTTTGTTGCCTGGTGACAGCCTCCATCCATCATACTCTGAAACTGTTAACGGGCCCATATGTTGTGCGCTGGCCATGGTGGCAGAGCAGCATCTGTGTCATCTGCACCATTTAAAATGGGCCGGCCTCACATTGGCTTCATAATGCACTTCTGCTGACCTCGATGCACAACAATTTTTCCTTCAGTCCAGTCAAGCCCAACACAAACCAGACCAGTCCAGCCTAACGCACAGCCAGAGTGGCCTAAACATGACCTGTGACAGATGCAAACGGACTGTAGAGATTGTAGAGATTACAGAAGCAGTCCTGTCATTATATTGCAAAAATCATGCGGGACGGTGTGCAGGAAGGTTCAAATCTTGTCTATGTTATGTCTAGGTGTGTAACAGTACACATATTTGTACTGAAAAAAATGTTGGTACATGTCTTTTGATTCGACACACGTGTACCAAGTGAATGTGGTGTTATTTTATCTCCTGCATGTACAGAACTTCTGTGTGTGTGTGTGTGTGTGTGTGGAATGTATTTAGAAACTATATATGGATATATAGAAAAATACAATGCTTCAAACACATTTAAAAATGAACAGAGAGGAAAATGGCACAATCTGAGTTGTCCTAAACATAAGACAAGCTTAAGCACTTCAAACAAATTCATAAGCATACAGTTTAAAGCAGCTTGCGCTCCTGTCAGATGCATGTGCTGTTTAATGCATTAGAGACACGTTTTCCACAGCACATAACTTATATTTATGGTTGTGTCCATATCTGTAAATGCTGGAAAGACATATATTTTCATTTTGCAAAAAAGGCTCATCCTGACATTAAGCGAGTCTCCGTTAAACTTCACAGACTTCACTGAGTACAATAATTCTGACTAAAAATACTTTTAAAACAGCACAATAAACTACAGTGCAAATAGCAGCCAGATGTAGCAGTGATAACAGACTTTTTTATTTAAAGACATAGCCATAGTACATACCGAACCATCAATTTTGTATACTATTACACCCATAGTTATACCCCATTTCTTTCTTTTCTGCCCATCATCTCTTCATTTTTCTATAAATAATCTTGCAAAAAATAAAAAAAGAAACTTGAAAGGAATAGTTCCCCCAAAAACTAAATTCTATTAATACTTCACCCTCACCCTCACCGTCTTGTCATTACAAACCTGTATGACTTTCTTTCTTCTGTAGAAAACAAAATGAAGAATATTTCAACGGTTTTTGTCTGAACAATAAAAGTAAATGGTATCCAGACCAACACTGGTCCCTATTGGCTTTCATTGTGTGTGTGTGTGTGTGTGTGTGTATGTTTATGTGTGTGCATATGTATATATATATATATATATATATATATATATATGTGTGTGTGTGTGTGTGTATATGTATATGTA